TTTAATTCCTAAAGATGACCATTTGGTTTTGGTCAGATAAGGGGTAGGGCTGGGGTGGTACTGCAGTGCGGTGTCTGAAGACAATAGCAGTGCGATGCTGCAGCTGGAGTGAGGCAGGTAGCTAAATTTCAGCTACATCTCCTTCCTTTTCCTCCCTAACTCCCCTCCCACCCCCAGCTTCTTCACATAACAAACCAGCTGTTAGGGACACAGCTGTGGCTGCCTCTTGGTGAGAGAGAGAGAAGAGAGAGGGAGAGGAAGAGGGAGAGAGAGAGCTGAGGAGCAAGCCTGTTACCCTGGGTGAGTTCCCAAGCTGTGGAGTTCAAAGCAGACCTGTGAAGTCAGGGGCAGAGAGAGAGCTAGGAGGGAGGAGGTGAGAAGTCAGTGAGGGGCAGAGAAAGGCTACACTTGTACTTTGATGTCCCAACACAGAGCTTGAGCCAGGTCTGGGTGGGGTCCCGGCAGATGGTTTTAGCTTTCCTCCTCAACTCAAAGCTTTAGAGAGAGCCAATTAACCACACTTTCCTGTCCTTTAGGCAGGATGTTTATCTAGTCCTCTGAAACTATGAAATAGCTGTGTGAGTCCAGGGCACATTCTCACCCCACTGTATACAAGAAAGCACATTCCCCTACACATGTAAATACATATACACATTTATTGCACATGCAAGCCAGGCACACTCTTGCACACATACGAGTTTACACACATAGTGCCCGTCATATCTGCAGTCTGTTCACCAAGTATCCCTAGACTTCATATCTAAGTGGCCTTACATCATGTGTAAAACTTGCACTCATTAAGTGTCCATCACAGGCTGTCTTTATTTTTGAGATAAGGAGTCAGCCTGTGGGCAAGGTTGGGGAAGACTTCTGAACCCAACTCTAGAATTTTCACTCTGCCAGCAATTTTGGCTCTTCTCAAACAGCATGGAACAGGTCCAAGGCACTTTTCTGCCAGGAACTGTTTATCACTGACTTGTCACAATACCTGGCAGAGATTACCTAGGAGAGAGAAGTCCCCTAGGAAACCTGTTTGTTCCTCTTCTAGGCCAACCAGCCCTGGAGACTCTGGCTAACAACCCTACCTTAGCTTTACTCTGCTTTACCACATGGCTGCAAGTAGATTACTTTGGATGAGTTTTGCAAAAAGTTGCCCATGCTGTTACAGTAGAATGATCCTGAGGTAAAGACCTAAGTTATCACCAACTCTCCAATGCTTTAATTCAACAAACATTTATTAGGGGCAAAACAGAGAGGTTGGATAAAGATAGATATCAGTCCCAGGGCTGGGGTATGTGTAGCCTCTGAGTCTTGGGGCACATCAGGCTGGTCTGCATCCTCAGTTCTGTTTACCAATCTCACATCTTCTGTGATGGATAGTGTGGTGGGAGACAGGGATGGATCAGCACCAGGTTGGGTGAGGAGTGAGTCTGGCTGTCAGTGTTGGGATCACTCAGGCCATCTGGCTCCAGCTTGCTCTAGGCTGGAGTCTGGATCTTATCAGCATCCCACCATGCCAGGCACAGATCATTGACCCCCTGTCCCATCCCAGCTCCCAATTCCCTTCCTTTTCAACTGAGACAGAGAATTAAGGAAATGCATCCATATTTTCTCCTATGGAGAACTCTGGGTTTGCACCTGGCTTGGAATCCAGGCAGGACAGCTGGGAGAGATAGACAGGAAGTTGATTTCAAGGATATTGAAGCTTTCATGTTTCCCTCCCTCTGTGTCCTCAGTTACCCAGGGTTGCTCCTAGATCTCTCTGGAAGCAAAAAAGAAAGAAAGAAAGACAGACAGACAGACAGAAAGAAAGAAAGAAAGAGAAAAATAAATAAATAAATAAATAAATATGTGTGATGTCAGCATCAGTCTCTGTGGTGGAATGGGTACAGCACAAGTGTTTACTCCATATACTCCATCTGGAGAAAACTGCCCCCTTCCTACTATGTGGTCCCTCCTGACAGGCAAAGGGATCTGCAGTGGCTGACAGTTAACCATTTCTATTTCACCACACTGTCATTCTGCCACCTGTTCAGGAGAAGCAAGCGGGCTTGCATACTCTCAGATTGATGAAGCCCCAGCTCCAGGCAGAATTGAGTGTGATGACTACTGTTCTGTAGAAGGACAAAGTTCTAGAGGCAGAACCATGTTATCTTTTCAATTAGCACAGCCAACCAGGTGCTCTCTCTGGCAATGGTAGATACATAAATCACACCTCCTAGCATTCTCCCGTATCTGTATAATGCTTAACATGTGACAGTTCCATTTTTAAAAGGGTTGAAGGACTTTATTTAGCGGTTGAGAGAACAAGTTACTTTACCTCTCTTATGTCTCAGTTTTCTCATCTTTCGGCTAAGGCTAAATAAGAGTATATATCTTCTAAGTTCTCTCTCTCTCTCTCTCTCTCTCTGTGTGTGTGTGTGTGTGTATGTGTGTGCAGATGTACTCACCTGTGCATATGGAAGCCAGAGTTTGTTATTAGAATGTTAGTCTCAATAGTTTCTCTATTGAATTTGGACCTGATTGCCTTGGCTAAGCTGGTTCCCTGTGTCTGCTCTGTCTAATACTGGATTACAGATGCATGCTGTCTTTCCTACTTTTATGTGTGTGCTGGGAATATGAACTCATGCCCTTATGCCATCTCTTGCCTATTCCTCACATTGTTTTACTGATTGACAGAGACAGTAAAACATACAGAAGGATGCCTGACACTCAGTATGTGAACAATGTATAGTGGTCAGGAGACCCAGACAGTGGCTTTTAGGAACTTTCTTATCTTTCTTTCCACCCATCTTTCCTTTATTCTTCCCTTGTATCCTAAGACTTTGGCTATGGTTATTTATTATTTTTTGTTCTTTGCACTTTCTGGTTTCCTTGTCTGAATATCCTCTGTTTCTTCTACCTCCTAGGAAGCTCTTCCTGTTCAAAACCTACCTACTGGAGATGCTACAATCTGCTTTACTTACCTCGTTTCATATTTTGATATGGGTGTTACTGCGCTGAACTCATTTCTGCCTCAAACTTCTGTTACTGCCTCTCAGTTGTTGGGATTATAGGCTTGTACTAACTTGCCTGGCACCTAGAATACATTTCTTTTAAAAATGGAATTAATTCCTCATGTCAATCAATCTGATATTTTCTCATGAGCCTTCAGAATTAGACATTGTCTTGAAAACTCTTGAGGTATGGGAACGCTGGTCCACATTTCTGCATAGCAACCAGAGACTAGAACTGAGGAGGCCTTCCGTCTTATTTGAAACAAAGTCTCATTATGTTGCTTAGGTTGTCCCCAAACTTTTGGATGCAACTGATCCTCCAACCTCAGCCTTTAACATAGCTGGTACTACATGTCCTGTGCCTGCCCAGTGTCCTTTGATAGACAAACTCTACTTAGTCACAGTCTCCGATTCCCTGTTATCACAAACTGGCTGCTTTGCCTGAATACATGCTTAACTTATTCATGCAGGTATCTGGATTTGTCTACTTGAAGATCCCTGGGGATCTTTGCTGCTGACAAACTCTCCTTCCAGGAAGTTGTTATCAGCTCTGTAAGCCTTTGCCTTAGATAACTAAGGCTTACCTAGCTTGGACCCATTTCATTCTGCCCCAACATTTCCCTCCCTCTCTCCCACTCCTCTCTCCCTTCTTCTTCCTTCCTTTTCTCCTTTTTGTCTTCCAACCCCAGGCCCCAAGGGGGGTGGGTTGGTGGGTGGGGGAGCAAGGCATGAATCCAGGGCTTCACATTCTACTATTAAGCTAAACTTGTAATCTTCCTGCCCAAATTCAGGTAGCTTCCCTCACTTTTGGGAGGTGAAATAGAAAGGATGCACTTACAAAAAAAAAAAAAAAATCTTATCTTGTGCATCCTTCCTCTTCCTGCAGAGGCCTCGGGAACTGGGCCAGATGGGAGGGTGACTACTACAACATCTGTTGGGGGGGGGCTGCTTCTTTTTCTGCATCCTCCTCTAACTCAACTTCCTGACCCTATGTGGTCTTATGAAACCTCTTGGCCCACGGATATTGGTAAGAACCCAAAGAACTAGATTCATGCTCTAACCACACAGTAATTCAGACATTTATTCTTCTCCTTGTCTTCCTCCTGTCCTAATTTGTCCATTTACATATTCACTCACCAATCAAAGATCCCTGAAGACATGCTAGAACTGTGTTCTCTATGTGCTTAGAGAAGAAAAGCAAACAATCAACCATAACAAAATTTACCCAGTGATCTTTGTCTTGAATCACTTATCTTAAGCCTCAGTTTCCCCATAGATTTAATGAAGTGGCTAGGAGACATTTTGTCTCGGTTTCTTCCATCCTGTGACTCTGCCAACCAACTTTCTAACACCACTACCTGCAAACTACAAACCCTGGCCTGCCAGCAGCTTATGAACTGCAAAGAAGTTTCATTTTGCTTTTGCCTGCAAAATACCAAGGTTCTCAGAAACAGGGTTGAAGGCACTGTGTAGAGAGGAATGAGCAAAGTGCAGGGAATCCCAAGGTCTCGTCTGGGTGGGGGTGGGGTGGGAGTGCAGGGTCAGCAGGGATCATCCAGATTCTAGGACACTCCTGTGAAATATCACACCCCCTCTGCCCGGTGCTTGTCTTGGATTCAGGTCAAACTGGATTTCAATCTGCATAATTTGTCCCATTTAGAAGGGTTGGGAGAGGGTGAGAACAGGAGGGTGAAGATTGAGGAGGGGGATAGATACCCCTCCCCCCTAAAAGTCAGGCATGAAGTGGTGGCCAGAGGAAACCAGAGTGAAGAGGCTGGAGTGAAGGCTGGTAGTAGCTAGAGAGAGGAGGTGGGACCAGGAGGAGCAGGAGGCTTGCAAAGCACAGATAATTGTCAGCCCAGCCCAGTAGGGGTCAATTTAGTCTACTTACCCAGTGGCAAGAAGAAAAAAAAGTGGGCTGTGACTTAAAGATCTTAAGACTCACTAGAGAGGGAGGGGTTAGCCTGGAGGTGGGAGGAGGGAGTGCTGAGTTTAGGAGGAGACAGAGACTCAGGAGGGTGCAAGGAAGTGTCTTAGCTGAGCTGGGCTAGGACGGGAAGGTTGAGGGGAACTGCCTGAGAAGCACATCCTCCTGGGTCTGAGCTCCCAGAGAGGCTAGTTCTGCATGCCGGGAAGGGCTCTAAGCACCCACAGACCTCTTACTCTGAGGTTCAAGCCAAACCTTCACGGTGCTTGCTGAGTTGGTGACCTAACTGGAACTGGTGTCCCTGGGACTCACTACCCAGCTTCACTCCATTCACTACCATGGAAGATGATGGCTACAACTACTATGGGGCTGACAACCAGTCTGAATGTGACTACGCAGACTGGACGCCCTCTGGAGCTCTCATCCCCGCCATCTACATTCTGGTTTTCCTTCTAGGCACCACAGGCAATGGCCTGGTGCTCTGGACCGTGTTTCGGAGCAGCCGCGAAAAGAGACGCTCAGCTGACATCTTCATTGCCAGCCTGGCAGTGGCTGACTTGACCTTTGTGGTGACTTTGCCACTATGGGCCACTTATACCTACCGGGAGTTTGACTGGCCTTTTGGAACCTTCTCTTGCAAGCTCAGCAGCTACCTCATCTTTGTCAACATGTACGCCAGTGTCTTTTGCCTCACCGGCCTCAGCTTTGACAGATACCTGGCCATTGTCAGGCCAGTGGCCAATGCTCGACTAAGGCTGCGAGTCAGCGGGGCAGTGGCCACAGCAGTCCTGTGGGTGCTGGCTGCCCTTCTAGCTGTGCCTGTCATGGTGTTCCGTTCCACAGACATCCCAGAAAACGGCACCAAGATCCAGTGCTACATGGACTACTCTATGGTGGCCACTTCAAATTCAGAGTGGGCCTGGGAGGTGGGCCTTGGGGTGTCGTCCACTGCTGTGGGCTTTGTGGTGCCCTTCACTATCATGCTGACATGTTATTTCTTCATTGCCCAAACCATTGCTGGCCATTTCCGAAAGGAGCGCATCGAGGGCCTGCGGAAGAGGCGCCGGCTGCTCAGCATCATCGTGGTGCTGGTGGTGACCTTTGCCCTGTGTTGGATGCCTTACCACCTGGTGAAGACTCTCTACATGCTGGGCAATTTGCTGCACTGGCCCTGTGACTTTGACAGCTTCCTCATGAATGTCTTTCCCTATTGCACCTGTATCAGTTATGTCAACAGCTGCCTCAATCCTTTCCTCTATGCCTTCTTCGACCCCCGATTTCGTCAAGCCTGCACCTCCATGCTCTGCTGTGATCAGAGCGGGTGCAGAGGCACCCCTCACAGCAGCAGTGCCGAGAAGTCAGCCAGTTATTCTTCTGGGCACAGTCAGGGCCCTGGCCCCAACATGGGAAAGGGAGGAGAGCAGATGCATGAGAAATCAATTCCTTATAGTCAAGAAACCCTTGTGGACTAGGGCTGGAACCAGAGGGAAGCCTGGTGCCTCAGGTCTGACCCAAACTTTATCCAACCGCTCTGAGAACCAGGTAGCATGGCTGTACCCTCTCCCTGACTTCTCACTCCATTCTCTGCCCACCTCCAAGCTCTGCCTTGCCCCTCTCTTCTCAGATGTTTGTGGTTTAGTGGAAAGGGATGGAGCCGTGCAAACAGCTCAGCTCTTCAATATTGGTTGACTTTGCATAAATCTCTTAACTTCTTTAAACTTCAATTTCTTTGTTTGTAGTAAATGGGGGAAGGTTATATGGACCCTAAAATGTTGAAGTGTGAGTCCTGACCTAATTTGTTTCTTTTGGCTGTTTTTTTTTCCCTCAGCTCTCTAGCCCCTCCTTTTTGTTTTCTCTGCTGCAGAAATTGTTTTTGTCAACTACTCACTTTCTAGATCTAACCCTTTCTCTTCTAGTGGGTTCCTCCCCATCAAACATTCCTGCCTGTACCCCAGCACCTTCTTTCATGTTGGGCTCTTAAGGGTTAAGAATCCTGAACCTTGCAGGGTAACTTATCCTTTGAGTTCTTATCCATTTTCTGAGAGTCAGAGGGTGGCTGTATGTAGGCAAAGAATTAGTGCTCTGGTTCCCAGAGCCAGGAGCTCTGGATCTTTCCAAAAAGTTGGATCAGTTCATTGTTGGTCCAGACACTAGGACTAGACGGATTTTTGAATAGAGATTTCTCTTTGACAGAGTCTCTGTGATGCTTAGGGAAGAATGCATCCTACCAATAACCCAGTAGCCTTCCCATCATTTTTTAAAAATTGTCTGTGAGAATTGCAAGGCAACAGGACTGAAGAAGCTGTGGATTGTCCCATCCCTATGAAGGGGGAGTTGGGAAGGGAAAAACAGAGAAAGGGTTAGAGGGGAATCCATATTTAGTCTGTATGCTGCTTGCCTCCCCTCCCCCACCCTCATCACTCCACCTCCTACAGAACTGTGAACTGTAGAGCAGATCCTTCTCCTGTCTCCTCCCCCGCCCCACCATATCTATAGGTTTTGGTGCTACTTGGTACCAAGAGTTGTTAGATAAGGCTATTTGCTTTTTGTCTGTATGGGTATATATAAATGTATACACACACACACACACACACACACACACACGAGTATCACATAAACTTCATTGATAAAGGACTGGGGTGACCCCCCACTCACTCTCTCCTGTGCCTCTGTAGGTCTCACTGTCCACTTGGGGAAGAATGGACATATGGAGGGAGTGTAGAATAGATATGGGCCCACCCCCACTGGATTTGGGAAACTCCGACGGCTGGTCCGTATTTAGGAGAGAGGTATATGTTTGTGCTAGGCTTTCTGTAGGGAACTGTTTCCTCAGTAGCATCTGGTCCTAAGGCTGAAGAAGTCTGGAGCTGGGCCCCAATTCCTCTCCCAGTTCCACAGTGGCAAATCCAGATTTACAGACTATATAGTACAGCCCTTCTCCTCGCTCCCTCCTGGCCTCTGACTTATTTCTCACCCCTCTCACTCTCTTCAGGGGTCTGTGGTCCTCTTCCTAAGGAGGTTTATTCTCCTTTCCATCAGGACTGAGCCTCTTGGCTCCTCTGGCTCCTTTAGCAGGGAGTAATGTTGGAAAAGTGTGACTGGAGCCACTGTGTGGGTCTCAAGGACAAAATTAATAGTGGGGCCTTTGTGAGCTGGAAATGGGTGTGCGTATTCCGGGTTTTGTTCTTGGAGAGCTCTGGAAACCGAGGACAAGACATATGCCATGGAAACAGGAAGAGCCTGGCTTGATGCAGTTGGACCATCTCCGGCAGAGATTCTGCTCCTGGGGCAGAAAAGGGGGTTGTGGTGGTGGGGGATGGAGAAAACAGCTTCTCTTAGCTGAGCTCTGCATGTCTCAGGCCAGAAACTTTCACACAGCTACTTTCTCTGCCAGGCCATCTCAAAGCAGCCAGAACAAGCTGCAGGAGGCTTCTGGGAGACAGGAAACTCAACCATGGCATGGGACAGATAGCAGAGGAGGCAGCCTCTTTTCCCCACCCCCACCCCTTCTTCAGAATGTGCTTTTTTTTTCTGATCTTGTTAGTCACTGTGGTTCATCAAATAAAACTGTTTTGTGTAGCTGTTGTGTCCAAAGCCTTCTCATTTGAAAGTACCTTGAGAGAAGTGTAAGAACCTGCAGTTGTAACTATTTCAGTAGAGGTGAGAGGGTGTATGGGGGAGGGGAGAATCAGTGGGAGCTAAAGAGGGAGAATCTCCTGGAAAACCTGAAAGGAGGCTGAAAGGAGATGGAGAAACAGGCACCAGACAAGTGTAAAGATGGGTCTGGGAATGGACAGCGCATTGTAAGCCTCCTGCCCTAACAACCACAGAACAATGGGCGCGCATTTTGTAGAATACAGCGCAGGTATATCTCGGGTAAAATAATATCAGTTACCTACTTCTGTCTATCCATTAACTCATCTATCCTTCCCTACCTCTCTTTATCACTATCTCCTACTGACTCAACCATTCACCTCTGTTAATTTGTTATCACTTGCTGATTGAGTGCTTCATTCATCGCCACAGTTTTTTAAGTCAGACATTTGAAGCTCTGTTCTCCAATGGGAGCCCCTCTGATAATCTTGAAAGTGCCCGTTCCTGCATGTCACTCCAGACCTACGGAGTCAGAATCTCCTAGATCCATTCTAGGTGTTTACAGGTGCTCAAAACAGCCCAGGCGGTTCAGTGGGAAGGTCAGGCCTAAGGGTGCCTCATCCAGCTACAGTCTTCCTGAGTTAAAGCAGGCACACAGACAAGACAGTTGGGATCAAGAAAACTAGGCTCTGGGTGACAATCTATTTGGAAGAGGCTGGACTGATCTTTGTGGAGGAAATATTAGGTTTAGATGTTCTTCAAAGAAGGCCTCTCTGGGGCCATTAATTTTGCAGGTGACAAAAAAACAGTCACCAGAGAGGGGAGGTGGGGGGAGGGGAGACTGATTGTAGCAGGAACTCATATTTATCCAGTTTTACAAGTGTGCTAAAATTTTTCCAGGCATTATCTTGCAACCTTCCTCTAAGAGGGACACTTGTGCCACACTTTGCTGATAAGAAATCTGAGACACAGAGATTAGCAGTATCTCCTGATCACAGACTGCTGTGGGAAAGAGCTAGGGCTAGTGTCATGGATTTAACTCCAAAGCTCTAACTCTTGACCATGGAATGCTGCTGCTTCCCTCAAAGTACAGATGAGGCAGCACCAGATGGTTGGGAAGGAAAATGTAATCTCATCTGCAAGATGCCAGGTACACATGGAGACCAGGCAGGATAAGAAGTGCCAGGGAAGGGTGGGGATGCTCAAGAGAGACAGATGGGGAGAGAAAGAGAGACAGAGACAGGATATGCAAAAGAGATGGTAACAGACAGAACAAAGAGAGGGAGAGGGAGGGAGGGAGGGAGGGAGGGAGAGAAGGAGGGAGGGAGAGAGAGAGAGGGAGAGAGAGAGAGAGAGAGAGAGAGGGAGAGAGAGAGGGAGAGAGAGAGAGGGAGAGAGAGAGAGGGAGAGAGAGAGAGAGAGAGAGAGAGAGAGAGGGAGGGAGAGAGAGAGAGAGAGAGAGAGAGAGAGAGAGAGAGAGAGAGAGAGAGAGAGGAGAAATGAGGAGAGGGACAGAGAGGCCACAGGGAGAGGAAGGAAGGTATAAGGATGTAGGGGGACAGGGGTAGAGTGGGGACAGTGATCCCCTTTTCTTCTTAAAAGGGAAAAGCCATCAAGAATTTATGACTATAACAAGGAACTGGGTTTTTTCTTTTCTTTTTCATATTAATACTATTAAAAAGTCTCCTGAGAAATTCGTTAAGTTGCCTAGAATATTATAAAATTATGAAGTACTTAATGGTTTATTTGTTCACACCTTACTTCGTTTATATACCCCTGGATAGGATGAGGTTACAGACTTCTGGGGCTCACAGGTTGCTTGTGGAGACAGTGCCAGAAAAGATGACAGCCAGAGGGTCAGCTCTGAGAGAGGGAAAGCTTGCAGTGCTCCGGGGGTCTATCCTGGGGCTGCTGAATGAGAGATGTCAGAGCATGCTGGGAACCTGGTTTTTGAAGTGTAGTTGGTGATCTGTTAATAAATATTTGGGCAGAAGAAATTCCCAGGGATATTGTAGAACACAGGCCCTCTGAGGAGCTGGAAAGAGCCTGCATCCTAACTTCATGCATGACCACTCCAAGTCTGGGAGGTTGGCTGGCCAGAGAAAAACTTGTCTGATTTTCAAAGCACGGATGCCAGGAAGACTGGGAGCTAGGGCTAAAATACACGTCCTTATATAAATTGGGGATGGGGAATAGACATTTAAAAGTTTTTGTTTTAGTGACTTGAGGCTTTGTCTGTCCTTACAGATATGAGTTGTTTTTCTCTGGTTATCTACCAGGGTACATTAACCAAGGACTGAGGAATTCTGGGCCATCTTATTCTGGGAATGTTGGAAAAAGAGTTTAAGAAGAGGCAGATAGATTTTTTGTTAAAAACCTCACCTCCAGAAGCCACGGTGAAATTCCCCATAACGAGCTAGATTATCTGGCTGCTCTATCTCAGTGCCGGTGAGTTGACAGTTTGTAAGTCTTGATCCAAAGGGTATAGTATAGTTTTTCAAATAGGAGTTTGAAACATTGAGTAGAATCTCATGATTCCCATGTAAAGTTAGAGTGTTAAAATGTTAGAGCCTAGGTGTGGTGGCATATGCTTTTTATTCTGGCACTGGGGAGGCAGAGGTAGGTGGATGTTGGTGAAGGCCATTCTTGTCTACATAGTGAGTTCTAGGCCACCCCAGGGCTAAATAGTGAGACCTTGTCTTAAAAATAATTGACAGTACACACACAGACACACAGACACACAGACACACACACAGACACACACACGTATATACAAATTATGTGCATGTATATGTATATATATGGCAACATAGAATGGACTGAAAGCATGTATGTCTGTATACATGTATAGTATGTATAAATATATACATATTTTCAGTTCATTCTGTATTGCTATAGTAAAACACTCAAAGCTGATTAATTTGTAAAGGAAATAGACTTGTATACATAGATCATGGTTGTGGAGGCCCAAGAATCCGATGCTGGCATTTACTTGTCTTTTTGTGAAGCATTTTGTTGGTCTTTTTGTGAATTGTTTCATCAGTTCATGGTGGAGAAATAGAAGGGGGATAGTGCATATTAAGAAAGGTCAAAATACAAGGAGAACCCTTTCTATATATCAACCCACTTTCCTAGTAATCAGTATAATTCTATAAGAAAGAAGTTGCTCCCAGAAAACCTAGTCCAGTCTTAAGGGATCTTACCTAGTTTCTTGAAAAATACACTAACCCATTCATAATGGTAATACTCATATGAACTTCCCAAAGACTCAACATAAGCATTGCAAGGAATCAAGTATGTTTAAGCCCTACTATAGCACAGTCATTCAAGACATCTTTACCTAGGACTGGCTTTAGAGATAGGGATAACTGGTCAACCAGGTATCACCCTGATTTGTGGAACAATTTGAAAGGCTGTTTGCTCTTATTTTCTTTATTAATAGATAGGTGACTTAAGGCCCATCAAGAGGGAAAGGAGAATAATTTACACGTGGTCACACAGTGGGAAAGTGGCAAGGCTGAGACTAGAACTCAGGCTTTTTGCTGTTAGGCAAGAGCATGTTCAGGCTTGTGAAGGAAATCTTTATTTTTATTTTTATCTTTTATTTTTTAACAATACATAAAGCAAGTGAAGTCAGACCAAAGATGAACTCCTGCCTGGGAAGGGAGAGATGCTAGCTGATTATCTAAAGTTTTGTTAAGTCTTTTGTTTGAGAAGAGCTTCAGATTCACAGGATAACTGCTGATTCAGTACAGAGAGCTCTTGTACATTACACACCCAATTTCCTTTATAATTAATGTCTTACATTAGCATGATACACTTGTCATAGTTAATGAACCATGTTGGTACATTACTGTTAATTAATGCTCATTCTTCACTTAGGTTTTCTTACTTAAAAAAAGAAAAAAGAAGGGAGGAAAAAAAAAGATTAAACCAAAAAAACAACCCAACCTTAATGTACTTTTCCAGTTCCAGAATCTGAAGTGGCAGTTCAGTCATCTTAGGCTTCTTGTAGATCTGGAAGCTTCTCAGATACTGTATTTGATGCCTTTAAGAAATACCGGTCAGGTATTTTGTTCCATGGCTCTTTGTAAAGCAAATGCTTTTTTAAAATCTCCATTTGCTAGGCATATGCTAGGTGATGAGTAAAAAACACTAAATAATACTCAAACCATTCATGCTCTTTTCGGAGTTTAACAAAGAATAATAATTGGCAGTCAGTGTCACTGCAGGAAAATCACAGGATGCTGTGGAGACAAACATGTCTTCTCTCTCTCCCAGGGAGGACTCACAAGTTAGAGCTAACATACTGGCTGAAACACGGGTCCACACTCAGCTCCACTAGGGTGTAAGTGTCTGGCATTCTTTCTCTTCCAATTCACCACTTTAAGACTCATTTTGTTGCCTGAATAAATGCAAACAGGAGTGTAGGAGACAAAAAAAAAATACTAGTATCTGATGGGCACCTCACCCTATGTTGTCTCATAGTGTGTCACTCAAGTGTGTGACACACCTCATGATTGTGTGTCTACCTGAAGCTGCTTTTAGATGTACCATGGTGGATTTCTTAAACCTGGTTGACACTTCTCATCCAAGCACCGTGCTACTTCTCAGTGCACGTGCCCTGGGTATTAGGAAGACGTCTCTAGGAGAGGCCTGCTTTTATAAAAGCTCTGCATTCTTGCCTATCCCATCCGCCCCATGGACAGCTGCTCTGGAGCAGGACCGTGTTTACAGATATTTGTTTTCCCACTTTCTGTAATGTAATAGGCACACACAGGCAATTTGCTTAAACAAGTGAACCACTGGAATGAGAGGTGAGAAGAATTGTTTTTTATTTACAGCAAACAAGTCGATATTTTTTTCCAAAGAAGCCAGGGAAATAAGGTAAATCAGGAGGCAGGAGAGAAGCAGGGGAGTTGGAAAGTATGGACCTAATTAAACCAAATGGTTTTGTGTCTCGCAGCTGCTCCTGGGTGACACAT